CATACTAAAGTTACAACTAAATGCAGCCTTCAAGAACTCAAATGTGAAAAAGGAATGTCACATAACAGAAGACAGCACCTTCTCTAAAAGGAAAATAGCCCAACAGTTATATTTCTCAAAGAGGAAAAATCTCACAGACATTTCTATCACTACATAAAGCCAAGATATTTACAGTATTTTGAAGATTTTGTTTTTTTTAACTGAATTGGGGAGAGGGCTATAATAAGAAAACATTCTTGAATTTATGAAGCTTACATGTCCAAAATTACATATATATATATTTATATATTTAAATCACAGTAATTGGGGGGGGGGGAGATGACAAATGCCATTTTAAAGATTAGTGCTTCTGAAAACCTGTTTGGAATCTTGCATTGTATCTGTATCCTTATTCCAAGACAGCTAGGACGTCAGACAACAACAACGAGAAATCCAGTCATCTACATTTGGATTTTGGTATGCAAATACACAGCATGAAGTCAAACCAAAACCTACAGAATCACAAGTCTTTATTCAAAGAAGAACCACTTTGAACGTAGAAGCCCTTCCATTGACAGAAATGAACTAATGGAGATAGAGAGCAAATTTCCTTGTTTGTTCTCATCTCTGTAAGCCTGTGGTTTTTGGTTTTGGGTTTTTTTAAAACATATTACTATGAGTTATGGAAATTAAAATACCTCTGAAGATAAATCAAAGGAAGCCAGTATTATTGGAAGCATGTAACTGTGGTAACTCTGAACCTGGAGAGGAATACTGCCTCACTCCCAACCTGGACATATACTACTTTTACTACTAACCCGTATTCCAAGGCAAATTGCTCTTTGCACCTAACTTTGGTTTAGGGCTTTCTGCTGTGACTTATTTAAAGTAGAAAACTTCTCCTTCCTTGTCAAGTTTTTAGGCTGTTGTCCCCTTAGCAGAGGGATTTTGTAAACTCAAGCTTACAAACCAAGATGTTAGCCAATGAGCCTTCTGAAAGCAAAGCAAAATTTATTTGCTATGCATTAAGTACATAAAATAACACATCCAAAAATAAGCTTAGCCTCTGCACCTCAGAACTATTTAATCTGAATAAACTGAATTATATGAGATGTGGTAAAAGTATTTATGCCTGTTAGCTATGTCAGTGTGAATATTGTCATGTATAGTGTCCAAAAACATACAACATTTTGGGTCAGCTGCTAGTGTTGACAAGCTGCCTTTTCAGATTTTACTACCGATTATGCATGCACTTCTAGACCATGGGAGCTCAATATGTTTCGTATGGAATATCCATTTTGTTAATGCTAAAAAAACTCCACAACATGCAAAAGCCCCCATGCCCACAGTTTCATTGTGTGTATATTTTTTTATTACTTTTCTCAACAAAGAGGAAAGGACTTAACTAATCCAAACGCAAAGTGTATTGCTTGGTAACTTAATGGGATATCAGTCCTCAATCCCAGTTTGAATTAACTATTTCCTTGAGAAAAGTCAAGGAATTAAAAAAAAAAACAAAAAACCACCTGTAACATACAGAGCCACCCACATTATCAAAAGCATTTGATGAGTTGGGTTCCCAGCAGTTTTTGTATGGAAGTCAGCTTGGAGGAAATTCTAATTTGAGATGCTGAATTTTCTCTCATCTCCTAGAAAGATGAACTTCTGATGAGAGCTGGAATACATGAGGGTAAAATGATACTGACATAGGTGAACAACGCACTTGAAAGAAAAACGTGTTCCCTTTGTATATGCAAGATGTTTCAACTAGGTGACACCTCCTTATTTCTAAGGAACTGTGTGGCATGTGAAGACAGTCGCTAACTGCCTGAGGCACAGCTGAATCAGAGGATTTGTTCCAAAAAGCATATCAGACATCTGTTCAACTGCACTGGAGGCAGAGCAGTGGAAAACCTGTAGCTAAAAGTCTTCAAAAAGCCTTGTAACTTTTAGCAATTACAAGTACGCTTAAATCCCGAGTCCACAGTTCTACAACTGAGTTGTAGCCTTCGCACTAGGAGAGAGAACAAACACAAGGTGCATGGGGAAGAAATCACTCAGTTTGTACAAAGATAGTCAGAAAACAGTATTTTCAAGAATATAGAGACAGTGGTATGCTCTACAACAAGCACCAAAGGCACAGTTACCCTGGGGGTTGATCTGAGACTAACCAGTGAACTCTTCCAAGAATTTGTACTACCAGAATTGCAGGCTCTTGCTCAAAACACCACCCCACCTATCCACCCTGCCGCCCAAGCCCTGGGAAACTGTCTATCTGAAACCCTTTTAGCAAGTCTTTCATATACACTTATTGTAATATGTTTGATATGTAAACAGTTGGTACTAAAGGGGTTGGGTGCTGCCCACCAAGCAAGATAAGCAGCATGACCGAAGCTAAATCAGACCTAGGAATTCAGTTCTGCCTGTCTCTCCTCATGTTAATACAAGAGTTGGTACGATACGTGAAATTTAGACATGGGAGGTAAGGGGAAAATCCCAAAGAGAATCCCAACTTTGGCTTGCTAACTCTACTTTAATTGCAAAAATACACTTCAAGGCAATCCAAGCAGGTAGACAAGTACATTAACCTTTGCACAAGAAAGCTTCAACTAAAACAAAGCTGTGCTTTTCAGAAAAAAATCCTAAAAAACATCTTGTTTATCCTCTCGCCAGGGACAGAAGCATAGAGAGAGCAAAAAATGTAACAGACTACAACCCCCATGCCCACTATACAATAGCCCCGTATGCTACAATGATACATGAAAAAAATATTTGAGTACCTTAACAAAACAGACTACAGCCATTTCTTGCAGAAAATATTTAACACCTCTATCAGTAAAACTGTCACTATCATTCCAACCCGCTCATTTCCCCATTTCATAGATGTTCCAATTCCCTATGCGCACGCATCTAATCTAAGTTACTAATTTCCACAATGAATTAATTTCTATAATTAATCACACAAGAAACATTTCTTCAAACTAAAGGGAATAAACATTTTAAAAAAGAAGTGTAAGTACTTGATATTTATTAATCAAGAGCTTGAAGAGCCCTAGTTGTACCTAAGCTCTTAGATTGTCTTGTTCACAATAGTGTTTCTCTCCCACTAAGCCATACAGCCTACTCTTCATAGCAACCCTGCATTACAGACTCTTTTACAACAATGTAATGAATGTTTAAAAAAAACCCCAAATATAGAGAGCTTTCACATCAGAAATAGTAATTCTTAGTGGTGAGAAACCACGATACAAGACAAAGAACAACAGTGAATTCCGTTAGAGTTCATTTCAAAGGTATGAAGTTGACATTAACTGAAAAAGGTACAGACTGTAATTCTCCTCCACTACTGAGAGCTGAGAACGTAGAACAACCCTTAAGACAACAACCCTCCCCACTCCCCTCCCCAAGACAGGGAAACATGAAATGCTTCCATCTCAAAGTTACAGCTAGGCACATACCTACATGTAACACAGACACACACAAATACTAGATTTTATACGAACTCCAGAATGGCCTTTCAAACCACTCACTTCTATGCACAGCCTCACTTTCCCCTGACCCACAAATGCATAGAAAGGTGGTGGTGAATCTACTTCCTATACTGACACCTCAAGGCACTCCACTTGATAGAAAACAGGAGTAAAGGCACTCTAGACTGCTCAGGTTATACAACATGGCAGAGCTACAGGCGAGAATTAAACAACCGACTCATCTCGCCCTTCTCTCCTTCGCCGAGGCCACATCTGGTAACTGAGCAGTGCCATGGCCCCTTTCTGGCTTCACCACCTTGCACTCCTGACACCTGCAAGAAGACCTGTGCGACAGCAGAGTGCTGCAGTGCATATGGAGGGGAACGCTGGAGAGAGAATCAATCTTTCTGAGTACCAACCATTTCCATCGCAAAGCAAAACAAATAGATATTAAAAAATGCAATTGCACAACTGCATTTATAAAAACAGTGACATACGCAGGCCAGCATATGAAGTTGCATAAAAGGCTGTATGCTATTTGTTCCATTCTGCAGAAAATATGTTGTATAAGCTTTTCAGGTTATAACGGTTACTCAGTCATCATTTTCATGTGAAAGTCACAGATCTGGCACAAAATTTAGAATCTGGGATTTTTATTTAACCTCCAAAGTGCCGCGTTTTGACTGAAAGACAAGACAAACAAGTCTTAAAAGCACCAGAGGAATCCAGTCCTGGCCACACCCGGCCACCTCGGGCCGGCGGCCAGCATTACAAAACCCAGCCAGGTACGCGGCATGTCCCAGCAGGTGAAGCCAGATTAAAAAAAAAAAAAAAAAATAGTTAAGCTCTTCTAGAAAACGAAGAGTGCGTGTGCTTAACCTCACCAGCAGCCTGGTGAGGCCAACACCATATTCAACGCTTCTTAAGTTTCCCGTTGGAGGATGCACCACACGCCGCAACATCGGGCGAGAAGGGAAATTAATGGGGAAACCAAGCGTTGCTCGCAGTGCCAGAGCACGCTCGCTTAGTTCTCGGGGACAGCCTGAGCGGCCGCGGGCGCCAGACCCACGGGGCAGCAGCGGCCGGCCCGGGGCTGACGGGCCTCGCAGCGCCCCGCGCCCTCCTGGGGGGCTTCTGCACCGACGGGGGAGCCGGGCGGCTCCCCCCGCGCTCCACGCCGTGCCCGGACAGCCGTCCGCCCACCCGGGAGGAGGAGAAGGAGGCGGCGGCGGGCAGGACGGAGCGGGCCGCCGCCTCAGCGGGGGAAGCCCCGGCGGTTCCCCCGCTAAGGAGCCCACCTGCCCT